TTGAATTAGCTATGGTAACTCTCTTTCGCGTTTAAACATCTATGATTTGGTCTGGCGGTTTGTCTTTGGTCCTCAACCAAAAAAGTTACGCGCTGTGCGTCATCAGTAAAGTCTTAGTACTTTACTCATGAATCAATTCACGGTGTTAGGCATCCTATATACGTTTGAGGTTCAAACCTGAATTTCCCAAAAAGAGGGTTCCAATGTGTGCACTGCAAGGGTTCTTCATGAAATCGTTCGTCAAACGTGTGATTGTTCGACTGCTTGCCTCTCTGATGCCTTTTTGTCAGAAATACGCATGCGAACAACTGTCTCTAAAACGTGCAGCGATCGATGACAATTATGTTCGTCCTCAAATTGCTAACTGCCATGAACTTTACATTAATTTTCATAACACATTTCGCCATTTCAAATATCCTGCTTCACTCTGACCTACGAAGTCTCGTTACGGCTTCATCGTCATTTGCCAGTCATTACTGCTTGATCAACAGATCGATAACTTTTGTCAAGGCTCTCAGGAAACACGTTCTATTGAATTCTGATTGCCACGTAACGAGAAGTGGTTATCAAAGAAGTAGTTGTGCCGTTGGTTTTGAATATGCTAAAAAGAAATCAACCTACCATTCTGAGACACCTGATGAGAACAGATGAAGGCTACATAAAAATGTATGTTCAACTTAATCCGTCCTGACTTTTGCTTTTTTATAAAAGTACCTGCGCCTGCTGCCAAGATGAAAGGCGATCGCCTGTTTTTCCTAAAACCTGTCGATATTTTTCTACGCTGCGCTGAATCTACTAAGGCTCGGATGTTCAGATGCGGTGACAATAATATGCCAGTTTTTCTCATACCTCATATGCGAATATACTAGAAATCTTGAGTGTAAACCAGATGGAAAAATTACAGCTATAATCGATTGCATCTCCCGTCAGAGCACAATGCGATCTTTCAGTCATTTTGATTCTGCGCCGGACAAGGCTGTCATACGTAAAGGATTATTGCAGGAATAACATTAAACACAGAAACACCTGTGAAGTAGCCAACAGGTTTATGAAGATACTTCCACTGAAATACGGAGTAGAACATAGCGGCATATGTTACGAGATTAGTTTACACAAAAATTGCATGAAGAAGCAGAACATGTTGGTACTTTTTTCTGAATTCAGCCGCGTCATGAAGAAGATGAAATTTTATCGGTTAGCATTTCTTTGTGCATCCCTCCGCATAAATCATAACAGAAATTTTTAATTAATAGATTTGCCTCTAAACTCCGCCATGGCCGGTCCCAAGCCCGGATGAGAAAGGAGGAGGGT